TTAAATTATTACCAAGATAGGAAAATTTATTAACTACTTTAAAAAATTAAATCAAAGAAGCTATTGAACACAAAAATAGCTATGCTTTATTTTCTTGTTAAGTTTTACTGCCTCTAAGTGGACAGTGAGTACTTAGAAGTTTATGGTTATTGGCCACTGTAAGACTGTGCAGCACAACGCAGTTTAAATCTTCTATTCAAACCTGAATTCATGCAACTGGCATGAATTCAACATTTAATTGTAGATAAAAGTTATTCTTGGAAAGATTTAGCTACTTATGTAGTAATTTTTATATGATTTTGTGTATTCATCTCTACTTCGTTTCTGTATTTTTTGGCATTGCCATCCCTACATCATACTTAATTTTTGCACATTTTTTTATTATATGTATACTTGTTATATTCATTACCTACGAAGCCTATCACCCAGTATCAGGGCTCACGTGTATGAGGTTTTTAGTAGCCAAGAGAACATTAATATCATTTGACCATGCTCTGTTAAGCTGAAGAACAAAGCCGTTGTTCCTTTAAAACAAAGTATCATCTGAACTGTATTTTTACCATATACGTTTTAAAAAACAAAATACTTATTCTATGAAGTAATTAGTATAACGTGAATTATGATTTGGTTTTATATGTGGGATCTGTAAATGTAGAATATTAACATAAGGAAACTTTAGATCTTGAAGAACTGTATGCTAAAAGAGAAGAGATTGATCGTCAAATTTCAACTCTAGAGAAGCATCAAAGTAACATACAACATGATGTTCAAGTGTTCTCTAACCAACTATCAAAGTTGGAAGAATCACTGATGGAAAAACTAGCCGCTCGAGATGCGCATGACCAGCTCATAAGAGAAATACAGAATGCCTATTTGAAGGTATATGTTCTGTTTATGCATATTTAGGCTAAGTACTAATTCATTAATTTCACTTTTTTTACTTAATGTTTTAAAGAGTTTTAAAACCATGTTATGTGTATACATGAATATGCTTTCAATTTAACTCATGATTATTGATAAACATAAAAGGTGCCATTTATATTAGATGGCATAAGAATAGTAGCACACTGCATGCATTGTCAAAAATACTGGATTTAAAATAAATTATCTCTTTTGACTGACTGTTGTGCAAAAGAGTAGTAGCAGAAGTTACCCCCCGCTAGATCAGTGGTAAGTTTACAGACTTACAATGGTAAAATCCGGGGTTCGATTTTATGTGGTGACCATAGTGTAGATAACTTATTATGTAACTTTGTGCTAAAGACAAACAAACGTTTTGAAGTTAATGAGTAGGCAAGTAAACTGTGTGTATTTTGTTACCTTTAATGGGTTATTACAGTAATCCGGATGATGTTATACACTGCATAGAACAATGAATACTAGAACTGTGACTTTAGTTTGTATCAGTGGTTTTTGCATTCTATATCTAAAATATTATAAATTCCAGTTATTGATTGTATTTTCTCTCTTATTTCTAAGATTCTTCAGTGTTCTCAGTCCTTACTTGAAATGGTCAAGACTGAAAGTTCAAGGTTATCGAAGAGAGATGGACAAGGCAAAAATTCTAAAAGATAACACAACAAAGTTGGAATTCATAAAACCATATTAGTATTTGGTATTTAAAGTGGTTGTGTGATATTGTTTTAATTTAGACATATTACAGTTTTGTGGGGAAAATTTCATGTATAGTCTTCCATATAGATCATATTTTCAAATTGTGGTTATCCTTGTGGGTAGAGAGAGAAGTAAAAAAGAAGAGGAAGCAAATATGTAATGAAAACTTTAAATTCGGGAATAAACAGAGTTGAAAACAGAAAGTTGATTGGTTCATTGTGATCATCCACCAACCACTTAAAAACTCACTAATGAATTGTAACTATTCTAACTTAATAACCTACGTCACTGAAATGTCATATATACGTACTTTTAAAAACGTTGTATATATTTTCCAAATGGAGAAGAATCCTTATTATATCTTTCGATTAAGGGAGAATAGTTGCACCTCACTTTTTTTTTGTCTATAGGATACATTCACAATAA